TTCCAGGTCCCACTGGCACACAGGAAGAGGACACGCCAGGAAGGGAGGGAGGTGAGTATTTCACAAAGAAATCCAGCGGCTGCAGAGGTCTGTATTTACCCTTCCGACCCATTCATCTCTGTCTCCCTGGACCATGAATCCCCGAGGGCAGGCAGGAGCGTCCCCATGTCAGCGCCCTGCCTCGGCCAGGACGGGCCAGGTGGTGCCACGCCAGGGAGGAATGGAGATGAGAAGGCCAAGGCGGCACCCGCCTTCCCAGGAGCTGGGGAGAGCTCAGGCAGGACCCTGGGGCTGGGGACCAGAGGCCCCACAGGCCAGTTCTGTGGTCACCCGGCTGGGGTCTCCAAAGGCCTTTTGTCAAGAGTTTAAAAAGTCTAGGGAAGTAAGTGTCCCCTCCCCAGGGACAGTTTGCAGCCCTTCAATTATGTCCAGGGTCATCGCCAAGAGTGTGGCCCTTGTCTGGGGGACAGGGACTCCGTTGGCTGTGGGTGACAGCACGGTGACAACCAGATGGTGTGCCCAGGACTGCCGGTCACTACACCAGACTCACGGGTGTGAAGGCCCTTCACCTGCAGCGGTGGCCTGATGTGGCAGAGAGCACGATCCGCAGGGCTCCCCAAGGACCCGAGTGAGCCCTGGTAGGGAGACGGGGGACCCAGCGCACCCAGGCTCAGGGTCCCTGCAGGACCACACTGCCCAGGTGCCACATGCCCTGACCACCTTCTTCTCAACCAAGAAATGTCCACAGGGCCAGAGGACGAGAAAGGAAGTGGGGGGCAGCCATCCCAGTGGACCTGGCCCCAGTGCAGGCCCAGATCTCCACCGGGGACTTCCAAGGCCTCCTCCCCTTCCCCCCGACCCAGAGACTCGGGGGAAACCGTGGGCTCCTCGGCCGCCCCACTCCCCGGGCACCACCCACTCCCCTGAGCGCCCTGTCTCCCGGGGCACAGCCAGCTCACGGCCCCGAGCCTGTGGCCTGGGACCCAGAACCTGTGGCAGGGGATTGGATTCTAAGTCACCTCTCTCCCCTGCTGGTGACCGCAGTGACGCACAGCGTCAGGCTGAGGGACACTCGCTTACCTGGCCCTGAGCCCAGCGCCTCCCCCCGACCTCGGCTCCTTTCATTTCAACCCCGACCAGGAGACGAGGCTCAGCTCACAGACGAGGAAACCGAGGCCCGGAGACGTGGTGGCAGGTGGTTGCCTGAACGTCCCCAATCTGTTTACGCAGCCCTCCCGCGGTGGCTCGGGCCTCAGCCTGGGGACATACTCTGGCCAATGAGAAAGAAGCGAGCCGCGAGGGGGTGCTGCCCTTCCGCTGGTTCCCTGGTGGCCTCTGGGACCCCTGCGGTCCCCGGAAGGAGCCAGGCTCATCTGCTGGGGGCTCCGGCCCACCCAGAGGAGGCCACACTACCGTCCACCCCAGAGAGGCCACATGAAGCAGCCTGTCCCCTGAGAGTCCACCACTGATGGCAGACGCTCGAGGGAGCCCGGCCGAGGTCACCAGGCCTCGCCCGCTGATCCCCAGGGCAGCGGCTGCCTCGAGAGCCACACAGGTCCGGGCCACCAGGCCGTGAGCCCTGGGTGCCCGCAGCCCAGGAAAAGCACTGGGCACACAGGGGGCCCTGGGCCAAGGTCACCCGAGAAGGCGGGGATTCAAACCCGCCATTGGGGCCCGTGAAGCGCACACGCCTCACCACAGAGCATCGGTGTCCACGAGGTCACTTATTCTCCTCGCAGGCCGCTCCGAGCCCCTGACTCCACCAGGGACAAGCTCAGGGACGTCAAGGGACCCACCTGAGGTCACTCTGCTGGCCAGGGCTAGCTCGGGCCCTGGTCTAGGCAGCGGCCTGCTGTCCCGTGGCTCAGGGCAGGCCCAGTCTTGGGACCAGGACAGGTGACCTGCCCCGTCTGCCCGCCTCCCCCTCCCGTCCCTGCCCACTGGGAGCCGCTGGTTGTCCTGAAGGTGGCCGGCAAGGGAGGAGGGTGGCAGCTGAGTCGCAGTGTGGACGGGGCCCACTGTGACCCGAGGAGGGACTTCTCAGACAGAAGCCAGAACCTTTCACCCAAAACCTAGAGCTGGCCCGACCCGAGGCCTCCAGGACATCTCCAGGGGAGAAGGCTGGGCCTGGGGTCCGGGTGAGGGGCCGGCCCCCCAAGCCCCGCCCGTCTAGCTGCACAGTGGGGGCACGTGCGGAAGCTCCTCAGGGGTCACCCCTCACCCCAGGGAGAGTCAGAACATCGGACACTGCAAACGCACTCAAGGCCCGTCTCCTGCCGAACGTCCCTGCTGGGCCCAGGTGCCCAGGCCACCGTCAGCCCGCGGCAAAGCCACCCTCATAACCGAGTGCTTCCCGCGACTGACGGAGCCCGACTAAAGGGGACAGAGGGCAGCGGTGCTCGCACCCGCCACAGAGCTCAAGATGCCCCGTTGGCCGTCTGGAGGAGGCAGCCACCTGTCCCCATGAGGGAGGCCACGTCCCCTCTCTGTCTCCACCCAAAACAAAGGAGGAGGAGGCGGCGGCGGGAGGCCGAGAAGATCCCTGGGGTCCTCGGTCCCACGTGGAGCCCACGGCCCCTGGTGGGGCAGGTCTCCTGGTCTCGCTGAGCCTCGGTTTTTCATGGGGAAAAAGGAGAGGCCCTCGGGGTCTGGTGGGATGTTGGAGGCCCTTGTCACCTGCAAATGCCGCATGGGAGAGGTGACAAGGAGACAGGGTGGTCCCGGGGCCCAGCCCCCTGGCCCCACAGCCCAGGACGAAACCTCTACTCACAGGACTCGGGGATCCTTGGAGGCCACCTGCCCCAAGTGGCCTGACTGGACAGGAAGAAAAATGGAGACCAGAGACACGGCTCCGGCCAGATGTGACGGCCAGGCAGAGCCGCGCGCCCACACCAGCTCTCTGCTGGGCCCCTCCTGCCCCAGGTATGATCCCAGCTCCGGGGCCTGGGCCCCTGCGGCTCCCCTGGGCCACCCCTGGGTGAGGTGCCTCTGGAGACCCGCTCCCCGTGGGCTCATCCCTCCCCTCCTGAGGCCAGGAGGCTGGGCCTCCCCAGGGAGGCTCCTGTGTACCAGGTTCAGGATCCAAGTCCCTGGGGTGGCCCGGGGAGATGTCCGCAGGGGCCCCTCCAGTTAAGTGGCTGTCCTTGTCCTGATTGAGGCCACCCTTTGGCTCTGCCACACCCTGGAGGGACTCGCTCAGCCCTCCCGGGCCGTCGGGAAGTGCAGGCGGAGTCCAGTTCCTCTCAGTGTTCACAAGTGTCCCGCAACAGCCAGGCCAGCCCACAGGAGGCCCGTGGGGACCCTGCTCCACGGCCCAGGAGCAGGGCGGCCCAGTGGACACCACAGGCCACACCCAGAACTCGACCCACCACAGCCCTAGGACACTGGGTGACGAGGGGACACCCGGGTCCTGCTCCTGAGCCTCCATTTTCTCCTCCGTGAAGTGGGGCCAGCACCTTCCTCTCGGAGCTGCCCAGGCATGAGACGAGAGGCACGTGGACACACCTCGCTCCAGGTCCCAAAGGGCGGAGCCTCACGGCCATCCAGAGGTGTCGGACAGGGCCCCTTCCTACCACTTGGGGCTCGAGGCCACCTCGGCCCTACCTCCTGCCTGGACCCCTGACCGTGGCCTGGTCTGGGGTCTGGCGGGGTCGGTTTGTAAACTGCAATTTTTTTTCCCTCTGCTGCTAGGAATCAGCGCCTGCTCTGCCCTGAGCCGCCCTTCAGCACCGACTCCGACGGCTAAGAGACAGGTTTATCCGGGGGAAACGTCAAAGGCTTAAAAGGGCTACACGGGGAGACGCAAGTCCCGCTCTCCCTTCTCCCTGCCACCTGTTTGCCATTGTCCCCAGACTCCAGTGATTCCCTTCTCATCCGGGGACCGTCTGCCCGTCAAAGTGCACAGTGTCTCTGCCCAGGCCTCCCCCCTCCTCCTCCCAGCGGCCCATCTTGGCCATCTTCCCGAGGACAGGAACAGCTGCTTCCTGCTCTTTGCTGGCTGCGTAGTATTCCACTGCCTGGGACACCACTCAGGTGCCAGCTCCTCGTTCCTGGGCCCTCCGATTGTGTCCTGTCTTGCTGTCACAAGCTGCTGCAGTGAGTCACCATGTTACCTGAGGATGAATGATAAGCAATTGAATCTCAACGACTTGGGTAGGTATGATTTCAACAGATAATGTCAAACTGTCCTCCGCCCAGGCGGGAACAGGACAGTAGGAGAGGACTTGGACCTCCACAGTTTCAACTCAGGTTATTATCACATTTTTTTTAAACTTGCTCAATCTAATGGCTAGAAATGCTATCTCTACCTATTTTAATTGCATTTCCCCCATTACAGGAAAGAAATAAGATCCAATTGTTTCTTTCCAAAAACTGTCCCTTCCTGACGTTTTTCCTCCTTTCTTATTTTTTTTTCTTATTGATTTGGGGGAGCTCTTTATATATTAAGGAATTTAGCCTTTGCCTGTGAATGGACTTCAAATGCGTGCTTGGGTCTTTCATTGGTCTTTGGACTCTGGTGATAGCATTTATTTCCATGCAGATTCCTTTTAAATTTCATCAGATTTACTGATTTGGATTCTGTGGCGTTTCTGAGGTCTGGGTCAGACTTAGAAATCCTTAAAAAACCTGATTTTCACCGACTCTCTGTGTTGGTGTCCGGCCCGAGTGTCCTCCCTGGTCTGTCCACAGTCAGCCTCCCCTGGACAGTTCCACGTGGCTTTGACGAGACCCCACCCCTCTGGTCCTCCCGCCACCCACCGGCCCCTGAGGTTCCACCTTCCTGCCACCCCCAGGCCCAGCCTCCTCTGGAGCAGCCGCACCCTGAAGGTTCTTCCCTCATCTCCTACTGCCCCCCTCGCCACCCAGGGGTCACCGCAGCCCAGCGCCCAGCGCCCAGCCTCCAGGCTCCTCCCAGAACACGCCGTGGGGAAGCGGCCGAGGAGGAGGCAGGAATGATGGAGGCTTCCCAAGGCCTCTGCTCCCCGCTCCCAACATGGCTCCCTCCTTCACAGCAACTTAGTGGAATTTCTATCTTTATTAATCAAATAACAAATTTAATTAATTACCATAAATTGCTTTAATTGAATCCAGCACGAGGCATGGACAAAGTCCCGGGAAGTAATGAGCCGGGCTTTCCAGCGTCTGCAGCTGAAATGATCTTTAATTTCAATTTGGAAGCACAAGCCTCGCGCCCTCCCAGCCGCTCGCGACAGCCCCGTCACCTCCTGCTGCGCTGGCAGGCCCTGCACCCGGCACCCCGTCTCCTGGTCCTTTGCAGCAAATTATCTCAACCCAGAAGTGGATGCGAGTCCGCGGTGCCCAGGTCGCCTGGAGGGGCACAGTGCTGACCCTGGGGACAAGCCCCAGGTGACACAGCAGCCTGTGCTCCCACTGGGCCCTCTGCCTGGAGTGCCTGTCCCTCACTGACCCAGCTGTCACCTCCCTGCCTTCAAGGTCTCCTCTTCCAGTCCCCTCTGCCCCGAGCCACCGGCTCCCCTCTGCCCGTCCTCCTCGTCCTCCACTCCTGTCCCTTCTCTGACCCACCCCCTTGCCTTAAGCCTCTCCCCATCCCGGAGCCCAGGCCTGACCTCCAGTGGCGCCACTTCCTAAGGAAACAGACCGCTGAGGCGTCAGATGCACCCGCTCCCTTTCGGGACGCGATGGCCGTTATTTTGGGCCTCTCTTGTGTCACTGTTGGTCTTTCTCTCCACTCCAGGCCTCCGTTGGCAGCCCTCTCCTCGTGCCATGCTCCTGCTCACGCACCTGCCATGGCTCCCTATTAACTGGGACCTCAACTTCCAACTCTGCCTCCTGACTTTCAAGATTCTTCAGAACTTGGCCCCGCGTGCGCGTAAGGCAGCCTGCCCAACACACACACTGTGACCCCCGGAAATTGACTTGACTTTATCAGACCTTCATCTTTCTCCTCTGTAAAGTGGACACAGCGGTCCCAACCTTGAAAGACCGTGAAAGAGAAGGGATGGGACACAGCACATTGCCCGGCATCACAGCAGCCCTCAGGCAGCAGGAAGACCCATCTGTCCTCTCCTGCCACCTCTCCAGCCTTGCCCCCCGTGGGGTGCACCAGACATGCTCAAGGCTGGGGTCTTGGCCTCTCTAGAAATCTGTGTCCCACGCCCACAGCTTTCCCTTCTGCCCACACAGCTGTCCTTCCTTACTTCATCCGTGAGGGGACATCCGGAGTCCCCCCTCCTGTCTGTAGTCAACATCTGGCGTAGGTCTGTCCCAGGAGGCCGCGGAGGGACCCAGAGCAGGATCCCTCCCCGGGCTTCCCATTGCCCCTTCTGGCTTTGAGCTCCTGGCCCCTCCGTAGCTTCCCTGATGCCTGCGTCCCCGAGTGTCTCTTCTGTCCCCATCCCCCTGGGGAAGGCCACCACTCTTCAGCCAAGTCCCCTCGGACGGGGCTTTTAATCCTGGTCCTTCTGAAATCTCAGGAGCCCATTTTTCCTGCCGAGAGGATTCCATGTCCGTCCAATCCCCAGAACCGCGGAGGGGCTG